AGACTCCTCTCTTTGCATTAGGTGACCAAAGTATCTGAGCTTGAGCTTCATTATCAATCCTAGAAGGAACATAGCAGGTGGCCAATCTGTCTTTCCTGGCAAATACTTCTACCTGAGGTTTTTTTAAAAAAATGTTCTCAGTTCAAATGATCACATGCTGGTTGTCCAAGAGTTAACATCAAGAGCCTAATGAAATATTGGGTAAGGTGAAAAATAAGGAGCCGCCTGTGCCTCAAATACTGTAACTTTATGGTGAAGCAATATGTGGCAAGAAAAATAGCCAAAATAGACCCTTGTGGACTGGATTCCAGCACCATCGAATTTTGTGTCTTGAGTATATAAAAGGGCTTTCCTTTTTAAGTGACTTGAATCCTTTGCCAAACTCCTAATAAAGTTCTCTGTGCTGATTAACAAGCCCAGTTTCAATATGGATGCAGTTTGATTTTATAATTAATTAAATCAGCACAGGGTCTAATCTTGTCCAAACCTATGAATAAAAGCATTTGAATTCAATGGAGCCTCGTTAATCTTTCTAAACACTCAGCTAGAATGCTACCATTCATTATCACAAAGGAAAACACCTTTGAATCTTTCCATTTCCAAGTGTTTGTTATAATAAAGGAATCAAAATTGCTACACAGAATAAATAACAGGTTGTTGAATTTCAGCCTCACTGATTAAAACCAGTTCCCCTGAGAAGTCATGAAAGTCTGATTTAATCTATGAGTTTAGTGATAAAGATGGGACTATAATAAGCTAGAAGTTTGGGTGGGGAAGGGTTGGACTGTAAAGCCTAAAATACATAACTCAAATCTTTGCTGGAAGCCTATGGACTTCTAGAATCGTATGCTATTTTATGATGACAATTCTGCCCAGTTTCACAACCTCAGTTATTCAGATCAGTTGCTGGGGCACAGCGGAGGGAGGGGTCTGCTGCCCTCAGGTCCCATTTGTGGACTCCTCAATAGTCAGCTGCTTGGCTCATAGGTGTCTAAATTAGGTAGCCCTTTGATCTGATCCAGTAGGACTCTTCTTATGATACATTTTCCCCTTGTTAGAACTACTTTGGACCCACAGAAGATGCTGTTATCCTGGGACAGTGCGGAAAGCAGGAGTCCTGTACAAGAGGCTGGCTCCTCTGCTACTGATACAGATACAAACAGTCAGGATGATCAAGGTGAGCAGTAAGGTGCTGACTGGCAGTTTATCAGCTGCAGTGCGTTTGCTTTTACGCTTCGTATCGTTCAGTGCCTCTTGTTCTTTGGCCTGGCATCTTGTGATCTCTGCTGACAACATTTTGCAGGGATTCCTTCACTCGCTGGAACTATTCAGAAAATGCAAGGACTCGCTTTCTCAAATGGCCTGTCCCTGCATGCAAGAGGCATTAAGTGTGGAAAATCTTAGCAGTCCCACTTGCAATGAAGGAGGAGCCACTGGTGGATTGAGGGAAAAAAATCAGGGAATAGATTATATTTTGTGGATAAATCTTCCTGTATTCTTTTTCTATTTTAAGGTGAAGATTACATCCTTATCTCATGCTAAATAATTACATTCGTAGAGCTCTGCAGGAAGGATCCGTCTTGCCTTATCTCCCAGCTGCAAGCGGAATGGAACTTCTATGTGTCTTTTGTGGGAGTTTGTTGGGTTATTCAAGGCATCCTGCCCAAGCAAGATAGCACTAAATGTGGTCTCTTTGCTGCCTGATGCAGTTAGAATTGCTCACAGATATCGAGATTGTGATACTCAGTTTTTTTCTGTGCTCCATCATTCAAATAGCTTGCCTTGGTATTTTTCACAGCCTACTTGTATTTCAGAGCACCTGAGCCAATAGCAACTAGATATATTGAGATACCTTAGCCAGTGTTGGTCGCCCCAACCAGGGCCCAACTTTAATATACGAAGAAACCCTAAAACTTCCCCCCCCCCACCCGACTGCCAACCTCCTCCATATCCAGC